GGGAGAAATTTAATGAAATACAACAAGGGCAAGCGTAGAGTCTTGCATTTCGGTAAGAACAACCCCATGTACCAGTACAAGTTGGGGAATTAACTGTTGGGGAACAGCACAGGGGAAAGGGACCTGGGGGTCCTGGTGGACAGCAGGATGACCATGAGCCAGCAATGTGCCCTTGTGGCCAAGAAGGACAATGGCATCCTGGGGTGTATTAGAAGGGGTGTGGTTAGTAGGTCGAGAGAGGTTCTCCTCCCCGTCTACTCTGCCCTGGTGAGGCCGCATCTGGAATATTGTGTCCAGTTCTGGGCTCCTCAGTTCAAGAAGGACAAGGAACTGCTTGAGAGAGTCCAGCGCAGGGCCACAAAGACGATGAAGGGAGTGGAGCATCTCCCTTATAAGGAAAGGCTGAGGGAGCTGGGTCTCTTTAGCTTGGAGAAGAGGAGACTGAGGGGGGACCTCATGAATGTTTATAAGTATGTAAAGGGTGACTGTCATGAGGATGGAGCCAGGCTCTTCTCACTGGCATCCAATGATAGGACAAGGGGAAATGGATATAAGCTGGAACATAGGAGGTTCCGCTTAAACATGAGGAAGAACTCCTTCCCAGTAAGGGTAGCAGAACACTGGAACAGGCTGCCCAGAGAGGTTGTGGAGTCTCTTTCTCTGGAGATGTTCAAAACCCGCCTGGACACGTTTTTGTGTGATCTAATCTAGGTGGTCCTGCTCCGGCAGGGGGATTGGACTAGATGATCCTTTGAGGTCCCTTCCAATCCCTAACATTCTGTGATTCTGTGCGACATGTTTTCAGGCTCTAAACATGCACATGCAAATATTTACATGCTGAAATCTCCACATTAAAACAGCTCCGCTCAGTTCACTGACTGAAATCCCATTTCTGTTTAACCCCTCTGCCATGTGGCAAGGCCATCACCTGAAGCATGCAAAGCAGACTATCTGAAGATTTTACTTGGTACTTTAAATAACTAACAGGAACATTTCAAATCCATCCAGTGAACAAATCAGTGAAAAAGGGGAAGGGGATAAAAAATACCCACTTCAGTATTCTGTATAAGTGCATGAAGTAGCTATACCACAAATGGCCACTGCACACAGTATAAAGCTAGCGTCTTTCTTCTCACTTTTACGACCAAGTTCAGTGCAGACTATAAATTACTCCAATACCCTAAAGCTTTCTGCTCTTAACATCATGCCCATTGCAGAAATCCAAAAAAGAAAAAACCCAGAAGCAAACTGGAGAAGCAAATGCAGTTCCTAAGCCCAGGCTTCATTGCAGTTTTTCAAAGTCTGAGTCCAAGAACTGAAACATTTTTTATAGGCTTGGAAAAAATCCAACAACCTTGCAATGCAATACAAAAACCAGTAGGACTTTCCATGCCATTGTAAGTAGTCTGAAAATGTAAACAGTATCCATGGTGGGGCTAAACACTATCACCATACAATAGATATAATGTGAAGATACTTCAGGAAGCAAGAACCACCAAACTACTGTTAATGTAGTCTTCAGACAGCTGGGAGAGGGACGACACTTCTTAGTTTTGATGTTAATTCTCTGAATGTTCATCTCAGTTTAATTTATTCGGACTGGCACAGTGCATACATGCAACGGAACATAAGAAGTAGGATGCTTCTTTAGTCCTTTGGGAATTTAGTCATGCAATCTTAACAAGAGTAACATGATGGCTTTTTGTTCATGTGTTTTTTTCAACTATCTGAGACCCTTGAGGAAAGCAAGAGGCTCAATGAAACAATCATGCTGACAGGTAGAAGCATACTTTCTCACTGCTTATACAGCCACAAAACAGAAGAGTGTTAAAAATGCATTCAATAGCAAATTGCTCAATCTCCCCCCCCTAAAAAGGGGGTCTACTGAGGCTATTAAAATAATCATCACTTATTCCTGAAAATCTCATCCTTAATTCTTAGAACTGTTCAGCACTAACACTGCCTCTGTTACATTAAACACACAGACTAAGACCGGCAGAGACATGAAGTACCTGTAAAGCCCAGGACTTGAGAAGCAAGTCAGATACATATCTATCTTATCCCTAATGACACAGCTCATGGAAAGAAATGCAGAAAAGCAATTGTAAAGCAATGACAAAATGATGCTGAAAGATCATTTTACATAAACTAAGGCAATGGCTTCTAACTTCCTCTGACCAACAGGGCAAAACAAACAGGCAGGTAACACTTGTAAGCAAAAGGCCGCTGTGCTGGCATCAGCTTTAACAACTTTTTTCCCGGCAACTGCCAGCACTGCTGGAGATTATCCAAAGTAACAAACACACTGTTCGGATTGAAGGGTTGGGAAGATTCATCCTAAAAATCCGGTTACACGTCTGACAGTGTACTTGTATGTGGCATTGTGCATGGCAATCATTCCTGTTTTATGGAGCAATAGTTAGAGAGCATTTTGGTGTACCAGGTAAATATGTAGGAACACACCAAACGTTTTCAAATAACATCTACTTGGAAGTAGTACAGCACTGACAAGCTCACCATGATCTGATTTCAGCCCCTATAAGGGAGATGAAGAGACAGTCCCAAGAAAGTTTTTGGGAAAGAAAGCTTTTCAGCAGGAAACTCATAAACCACACATTCCTGAAACTATTCATCCTACAGTTATTCCACTTCTTTTTATTTAGCCAGTATTTCTAAAAAGTTTGCTAATTTTGTTTTCCATACAAATAAAAACAGCTAGCTATGCTCAGTCAAATTATTATTATATTTTTAAATAGAAGCATAAATGAATCTGTAATAGAATATTCAACAGACTTTTGAATTATCACAGTTGTAATAAGCATTGCAGTATCTCTTGGCATTATGATTTGTTGCACACTAAACTCCCGCATCACAAAAAGTGCCAGAAAAATAAATCTACCGAGATGCCATTTGACAATGAGTTAGAATAGACTGTAAAATATTTAAGTAAGAAAGATGAAGACGACAAATTTGCAGACAAAAACCAGTCTTCTGTGCAATGTATACATTCAAAACAACACTTCACGAGCTCAGCAATTACATTTAACGAGAACTATAATCTCCACGCAATTACAAAAGAACCATTAGACAAGAAATTAGGAGCATTAACCGCATACTTAAAACATTATTTATCATTATGAGCTGAGAGCTTTTAGGTGAAAAATTTGTAAAGGAGGTAAACATGCTGCCTTTTCTCCATCCCAGAATTTATCTGTGTACCTTTATCTCAGGGCTAAGAGGACAGCATTAGTACGCTGTTTGCAACTGAGGCTTTATTAACAGTCAGACATGACTAATATTCACCAGGATTCATAAGCTGGAACCACACTCTTGAAATCAAAAGTGAAGTGTTTTGAAGAAGATGAGAGAGAAAAGGGGGGTAAAACATGCATGTTTAAATGTAAGTCACTCAGCATGTTTGACAATAGTGCAGAATTTTAGGTCTACAGGGAAGACAGACTTTCAGACACACAGTACTTTTTCCTCTCACCATACCTGTCCTGGATCATTGTACCACAGTTCTTCATGGAGACGATCAGGGTGTGCTTTTTTACGCTTAATTTCCGCAATGACATCAAAAACTTCAGAATCTGAACTGCTAGAGCAGCTGCTATCATCTTCAGAGTCACAGTCTGAGTCACTGGAGGTCTCTGATTCACACAGGGAAAACAGTGTCAGCTGAAAAACACTTCCACACGCTCTCTTCCCCAGTACCAATGTGTGCTCTAACATGATATAACTAACTGTGGCATATGAAAGTTATTAAAGTTGGGCATGACATTCACGCTAACAAAAAGGACAGCAACCACATTTTAAATTAAAAATGACAGCAAATGCCATGGATATTAAACGCCTACAACTGCATCTGTTAGCATGCATCAGATTGCTGTTTGGCTGCCCAGGACCACCACTGATCAGTTGTAGAAGAGCAATTTCCGTTATTTGACATAAAATATTATAGAGCTATAACCAACAAGTATGACTGAAAAGTTAAAAGATAAGAAGAAAAAAAAGACACTCTCCGTTTTCTCTTAGGCTTTCTGAGTAAATAAACTAGCTCTACTTCACTCAAAAACAACAGTAAAATTCCCATGGATACACAATACAAAGGAAGGATTTAAAAACCACAGATTATCCTACCAACACTTTTAAATTGTCAAAATCAGGTTAACTATAGATTACTCCATTTCAGAGCTTTGTCATCACTTCTGCCTACCTAAATCTTCATCCAGCTTGGTCTTTGGTGGCTCCCACGGTGGTCTGGCTGCTTTGGCCTTTGCCTGTCGCTTTCCTAACTCCTCGTCAAACTTTTCATACAGATCTCGGAGCTTGCTTGTTCCTACCACAGTAGAGTCTCCCTGTTAATTAAAAAGCAGAGCAACAAAAAGTCAGTGTTGAAACAGCACATGAACATAACATGTACCAACGTTTCATGATGAAAAGCAAGAGGGGGAAAAGACAGACTGTGTAGTTCAATGAAACACGGAAATACTTGTTCAGGCTTTAGCATATCATTACATTGCTCCACCAGGTGAATTAGTAGAGAAATTACTTCATTTGCTGGTGCATTATCATCAAACCTTTGGCCTAACAAAGCGGAACTATGGCTAAGCATATTTAGTACAGCTCAACATTGATTTTTAACAGTTTCGGAAGAAACAAGAGACCTGTGAAAGTGTTTTGGAATTAAAAAGAATTTTATCACATATAAGAAAGACAAAACTCAGCTCGTTTTGTTGCCTGCTTTGAATCACCATGAATTCACTTTCCATGTCACTCAGAAAAACCCTACAACCAACCACAAACACAAAAACCCCACAAAAGCCAGAAACCTCCCCCCTCTATCACTACGCCACCATCAAGTGTTATTGTCAAGAACAAAGAATTCTGACTTCCTGCTTCTGTACAAAATTTCTCCCAAGGCTGAGGGAATACATAGTGCTTGAGGGATCTTTCCTCAAATACAGGTATAACGGAAGAAAACCCACACCCTTCCCTCCTGGAGACAAAAAAGTACCCCTCTTCCATGTACCACTGATCTGAATGCAAAAAGACAGAAGAAAGTTGAAAATAGAGAACACCAACAAATACAGCCCTTAACAGGGTTAAAAGACTGAGATGACTGGGGGCAGAGAAGGATTTAAATGACACGAAACATGATCCTGTTGAAGGGTTCATATTAATCGAGTAATCAAATAATCAACAAAGGACTCTGTACAGTAATTTTAGAATTCTCTGAAAAACATACCACTTGATCCATAGGGTCATTGGAATAATAGCTTTCAGAATGGGTACAGCGAACCCAGACTGGCTTAAGTAATTCCTCATCTTCCTCTTCATTTTTTTCAGATGCATTCTCCTCTGATTCTTTGTCTTTGATAGCACTATAATTTTTCTCTTTGCTGGAGCTCTGGTTCTCAGACCATCTTTCTCTGTCATCCTCCCATCGGGGTCTCTTTCTCTCTCTGCTTGGAGACCGGCTTAGTACAAAAAGGCAAACAAAAGAGATTATCTTTATTATTTTAACAGTGAGAGTTTTATAATGAAAAACAAATAGTTTGCTTCAGACCAGTACATCATCCTATCATAAAAATTACAGCAAAATCCAATTGCCTCTTACTGCTTTGAACTTACACCATAAAGAGTAGAGTACTTTGCAGTTCTGACCTACCATAAAAAATTACCTAAAATTGAAAGAGCTTTTGTATTTTAAACCTTATTCAAGAATTAGAATGAGAAAAAACCCCAAACTTTTAGATTAAAATTCCTACTTGCATTCTAGGTTACTTTCTTTTTGTTTTGCTCCAGAGTGGGAAACTCGTCGCTAAAAACTAAAAGTCACATCACTCACAACTAAAAGTTACAATATAAAGAAGTTATAATATACAGCCCACAAACTATTTGCATGAGAAAGAATTAGAGTTTTATTTAGAAGGATTATATAAAAGCCACACTGCTTGTGTTACTCTAACTCTGGCACTTCTTTGAACAACACAACCTGTGATATTCTTTATGTATTGAAAGAGTAATTCTTTCAAAAGTTGAATGTAGGAAAACTACTTTTTTTAACTCCTTTGCCTAAAAAACCAATAACGTTGCGCTGATTTCAACTATCCAGGATTCAGAAGGAAAGGACCATCAATATTAAAAAAAAAATCCTAAAAGATAATCTAAACACAGAATGACTTTAAATAATCTTGGTACTTTACAAACTGGAAGCAGATGTAAAAGGAAGTCTTTAGGACACAGCAGTGAAGCCCTCTCTCCAGATTCTAACTCTACAAGGTCTTGAGACAACTGTCATTTTCATGTATAAGCAGAAAGTTAGAAATTTAAGACACTCATCTGGAGGAGTTCCTCTCCGAGACTGGCCATAATATTCTCTCGGGTATGGACAATCCCTGCTTGGGCCCCAGAGTGCAAGGTTACCAACTAGATTACTTTTGTCCTTCAAGTTAACTCAATGGCCTTAAAAGGAAATGTAGATTGATAGCCTGCCAAGATGCATGCCTCCTGGATGCCTCTCCAATGACCGCAATGAGGAGACTAAAGGGATGAGCTTATTACCTGTGGTCTGCTAACGCTACCCTATCACTATAACCCACGAGAGTGTGTTTACGTTAAGCAAGCCAATTGTAGAATGTAGTCGTGTCACGCCATATTCTGCTATATAACCTGTGTGTTGGTTGTAATAAAGGAGCATGATTTCTAACCATGTTGGTGTACGGTCATGACTCGGGTCCGTCCACAGTAGGGATCCTGCTACAAGTGGCACCTGAGCAGGGACCCTGAAAAAGTCGCTTAAATGCGGAAGAAATCACTTAAATGCAGATAAACTCGCTTAAATGCGGAAGCCTCCATAGCATCGTGGATACGGGATTGGGAGCCTGTGGACGAGACAGCAGGGAAGGGCACAGGACGAAGAGAATCGCCGGAGTCTGGTAGTTTCGCAACGGCCGAGCGAACCTCTGCAAGGTAAGACCGCGATGGGAACGGACACAGCAATCAAGTTGTTAACCAGCATACTCTCTAAGAGAGGAGAAACCGTTAACCCTAAGGAGACAGAAAGCCTCATTAAGTGGGCAAAAGCAAATGGACATTGTAAAACCTCTCCGCTACTCTTTAATGTTGACGAATGGCATGAAGTGGGGGAACATCTCTGGGAGACCACCTTAGCGGGAGGAAAAGAGGAAAAAACAGCAAAAGAAGTGGGACAGACGTGGCGTGTCGTAATTAACACCTTACGGGAGATCAAAGCTGAGCGAAAAGTTGCTGCTGCGGCCATAGAAGCCCTGCAGCCGGATAACACCTCTGGCGAGCTGCACGAGCCGCCGATTGTGCAGTTCTTTGGGGTCGGATATTTATGCCCAATGAAAGGCATGCGAGCTCCCACCTGTTCTACTA